GCGCAGATTATTATAAATAATTCTTTATTATAGATTTCCTAGTTAAGTTTAGAACTAGTAAGGGTCTAACTAAAGAAGGATATAGGGTACTATTTCCTATTAGGATGCTCCTATAAGAGGATAGCTGCAATAACTCTATTAGAGGCGTCTATCTCTAGTTTTAGAGGGTACTTAGGATAGAAGTAAGCTAAGCTTAGGATTGCTAGTAGGGCATTCCTAAGCTAGTTAAAGGCTTGTTAGCATTCTAAAGTCTATATAAATAGGGTAGCAGGACTCTAGAGAGTAGTTAAGGGCTTAGCTATCTTAGAGAAGTTTTCCACAAATTGCTAGTAGAATCTAGTAAATCCTAGGAAGGACTTTACTCTAGTTATTGTCTTAGGAGCGGACTAGTTTTAGAGTACTTTAACTTTGTTAGGGTCTACCTCTAAGCCTTTATTAGTTAGGATATATCTAAGGTAACAGGTACAGGTTATATAGAATTTGCTTTTCTTAATATTAGCCTGTAATCTAGTAGAACAAAGACGCTTAAGGACTTTTTAAACATGGTCCTTATAAGTAGCAAGGTTTTTAGAGTAGATTAGGATATTATCTAGATAGGTAATATAGAAGTTATCTAAATAATCTATTAGTATATTATTTATATAACGCTAATAGGTTGCAGGTCTATTATATAGCCTAAATAGTAGGACTTTGTATTTATAGGCACTATACCTAGTGTAGAAAGTAGTATACTCCTCTAAGTTAGGGTCTATTTAGATCTTATTAAAGGCAGCGCAAATATCTAGCTTAGTAAAGATTTTTGCTTTAGCTAGCTAGGATAATAGATTATCTATGCAGGGTATTAGATACGCGTCCTTTCGCGTTAAGCTATTAAGCTTATAGTAATCTATATAGATCCTAAGGCCTCTATTTAGCTTCTTAACATATAGGATAGGAGAGGTAAATAGGCTCTAACTAGTCTTAATAAAACCTTTCTATAGGTGCTCTTATACATATTCCTTAGTAGCCTAGAGTTCCTTAGCATTTTAATAATAGAGGGGACTCTAGTAGTTTAGAAGGGGTTCCTCTAGGACTATCTTATAGTTATAAGGCTAGTAGATTAGAAGTTTATTAGCCTTAGCCTTGTTAAAGATGTCCTAATAGGAGTTATAGTTAGATAGGAGCTTCTAATCTAATAAGCTGTGTTTAAGAGTATCCTATTTAAATAGGGTTTAGATCCTACACTTAATCTTATATAGGCTAGTAGTAAAGAATTTATTAGAAGATTTTTTTATATTAAAATAGAAAGTATTTGTAGAAATAGTAGTAATTTAAAATTTTATAGGTAGGGTAATAGTTAGTAATTAGACTAGGGTAGGTAGTATAATAGGTTTAGTAGTAGCCCTATAAGTAGCTAGAATTTTAAGTATACCACCTATCCTATTAATTAAACTAGGACTGTTTTAGTTCTAGTTCTCCTCTTAATCCTAAAGGGCGTCTCTTTATAAGATATTGTAGGTAACTAAAGTAGACAGCACTTGCTAGTAGAGTTGTACTAGAATAGGAGGTGCGGGGTCGTAGGTTAGAGGATATTTCTCTAGCTAGATTAGTTAAGATTTATCTGTATTAATTAGGATTTAGAACTATTTTAGCTAGTATTATCTAATAATATAATCCTAAGAACCTAAGTCTACTATTACAAAGGGGTAGTTATAAACCTTTTAGCTACTAACTATTATATAAAGCTAAATATAGTAGGTAACTAGGGAGGTAATCTAATCCTAGAACCCTTTAATAGTAAGCTTATATAATAGCTTTTAGATAGGTACCCTAATTATAGAAGAGATATTATAAGTAATTTTTAAATTAAGAAATAAGTAACCTTAGGCCCTAGTATCTACTAAAGCGTTTAGGCAAACACTAGATCTATTAAGGTATAGGGTTATACGTGTAAGCAAATAGGAACTAATAAATAATTTAGTTAAGGAAAGGTTTAATAGGTTATATTAAGTTAGGCCTAGGAAGAAGGATTCTCCTAGGCGTTATTGTTTCCTGTCTAATAGCTATCTAAATTAGTTAATTTAGCGGCTTCTTCTTCCTTAGAATTCTTAATAACCTATTCTATATCTATAGCCTAAATCCTAGGGGGTTTAGGGTAGTTACTAGAGAAGTGCCTAAGCTTTCTATAATTATAGTAATTTACTAGGGTTCCTATTATAGTAGCGCTAGGAGTGGCTAGCGTAGCAGATAGGAGTTAATTATTTTAAGGGGTAGTACCTTATTATTACAAGTAGGGCATATAAGGTTTAGCTATTAAAGGTCTATTATAGGGTTTCTAATTAGCGTCTAAATAGGACTAGTTTCTAGAGTATTAGAAGGGGGTTAGTCCTTTTCTAGATAATAGAGTAGTCTAGGTAGGAGTAGATAAGGTAGGGTATAGGCAGCGTTCTATATTAAAAGTAGTAAGATAATCTACTATAGTCTTAAAATTATTATACTAATTCTGTTAGAAAGCAAGATTTAGTATCCTTAGGGAAGGTGTAATCTTTATCTAGAGGTAGTAATACTACTCTAATTAGGATACTTCTCCTCTAATAGCAAGACTCTAGAATTATAACTTAAAAGTAGGGAATATCTTTATATTAGTTATATATAGGCAGTTAAATATAGTCTAACTCTTAGCTATCTTATTTCTAGTAATAAAGTAAGTTTAAAGGAGGGTAATTATTTCCTTAGCTTTTTAGAATTAAAGACTTAGGGAATTAGATAGGTAATATAGCTCTAAGTATTCTCTTGCTAGTCCTAAGTAGTGTCCCTAGACTAACGCTATCTAAGCTCTAGAAAAGGGGTAGTAATTAGTATTAATCTCTAGCCTATCCTAAATAGATGCTTACTATTATCTAAAAGTAGGGTTAGCACTATTACTAAGTGTAGAGATATTTAGCGTCTTTTTAGATTATCTCTTAGCTTTTATAGTATATACTATAGGGTTTAATATAGAAGCTAAAGACTAGCTAGGTTAGGTAGTACCCTATATCTCCTTATAGAGGGAGGTGTTATATAACTAATTAGTAAGTTGCTTAACTTGTTCCTCTAACCTCTCCTTTATAGATAGGGTTAATATATATTTATCTTTAAGGGAGGTGTTGCTTTAAGATTTCCTAGGAGCATAAGGTACCTTAAGAGATAGATAGGAAGTAGGTCCTTTAAGGAGGGCGTTGTTAATTAAGTCTTCCTTATCTAATTTCTTTCTATTAGTAAATAGGCTTTTAAAAGTAGCTAAACTAGATACCCTTCCTTTGCCTTTATCTAATATTTTGTAGTTAATAAGAATAATAAATCTTTTCTTTAGGGGGGGTTTGGTTGTAGGAGGATATTAGCTTTGCCTCTAATTCCTCTAGGCTTTTAGTAGTCTCTAGGTCTCTACCTTAACACAATCTAACACGATTTTTCTAAAGGTAATCTAGCACTACCTATAGGTCTAGAAGTGTAAGCCTATAGGCTTTAGTTAATAGAAGTTCTAATAGCTATTCTAATAGCTATTCTAACTATAGAGTTATAGGGTTAGATAACTACTAGAACTAAATTAGTAGCTTAAAATAATAACAAATACAATATTCTTAAATACTATTACTAGCTAGGATAATATTCTTCTTATAATATAATAACTTAGGTAGGTAGGGTATCTAAAAGGTATACTATATAACTTAAAGGTATATAGGAGTGCGCGTCTATATAGAAAAGGATAAGATTCCTATACCTATAGGTGTAGTATAAAAGGATAAGAAGAATATACCTATCCTAACTATAGGCGAGCTACTCTCTATATACATCAGTAAGTCAGGCCTTTATTAGGCCTGACTTGGCATAGAATAATAGGCGAGCGATTCTGCCTTATTGTTACATAAGCTAGGCTTATAATTATAGAAATTTAGATTACTAAAGTTAGGAATAATTTAGGAGATAGATTATTAGATTATATCTACTACAATTAGACTTATATATATAGAGCTTTAGCTACCCTTACTAGAAGGTGTATAATTAGTAAACCTTCCTTACTAGAGCTCCTGCTTTTGTTAGGCACTTAGTAGTAAGCTAGCAGTTAATTAGATAGTGGGTCATACAGGGGTATTAATTAGGATTGATTAGGATTAATTGGATCAAGATGCTCCGTGATCTGGTTGTTATCCCGCCTGCAACACTACACTATATTTAATATAGTAATAAAAATATAATAATATACTATTCTTAAGACGCTAGTACTAGTAGGGATAGAGTTCTTCTTATAATATAATAATATAGGTAGTAAAGATAGCTAAATAAGGTCTAGTATAACTTAAGCGTATAAAAAGTATATATTTATATTAAATAAATTTACCTTACTACCTATAGGTCTATTATAAAAGAACAAGAAGAACTTACTTATCTATTTATAAGTGTAAGGCTCCTTATATAGTATATACAATACAGGAATAGAAAAGAATACTTAGACCTAAGTTAGGGCTATATTGGTATTAAGGCTATCTTAGCTACTCTAGTCTAAGATAGAACGAGGGTTGCACTCGTTGTAGACGCGGGGCGAGAAGAATAGAGCTCATACCTGACATCAAGCAGCAGGAGAGCTGATTTCGTCTTAAGACGAATGTGAGAGATTCAACTGATCGTTTTTACAGGTTATCTGTCTCGTCTTCGTCGCTATATGTGTTCACATGGAGTGTGACATATGGTCGTTGATCGGGTTGTAGATTATCTTGAATTTGTGACTGACTTAGAACAGAGATCAGCACATGCCCAAAGACCAGAGATTTTTCCTCGTATTCAACTTGTCAACTTGGATGTCCGACTCCAAAAGTTTGCACTCCAGCAACATAAAATTTTAACTTAAGAGGCGCCAGCTGTTAGTCTATCCGAGCTTACAATACCCTGGCGTTATCGTTTGGTGGAGTGAAGGCTTTGTTTTGCAGAGTCTCAATAATGCGAGGTCTTTTGTCTCCATGACCGATTCGATCGTGTATGCCCACCTAGGGGTCATGCTTGGTGGTATCCTAGGTACATTGTTACTTTTTATTTGAGCGCATCTAGTTAGAATCATGTACCTGTAAGCCTGGGGAATGAAGTCGATCAATGTGCCTCGGAGGTGCTTCCAGCATGCCATCGATGTTCTCTATCCATACGGACGGCTGTAGAGTCCTTGACATAAGTTTTGTCTTTCGTATGGGGCTTGATGAATGTTTCGAGTCCGAGGAGATAAGACTGGCAAGACGGTTGAATGCATTCATTTGATTTTATACCTAGTAGGACTTCTCATGCAAGTTGAGACACATCTTGCTCGGGTTGAACATCATCGATATCGACGTCAGACCTTGGCCGTGTTGGGCCGTCACTGCATTGCGAGCCTAGCTTCGAGGTACGCTGGTGCAACCCCAAGTCCTCGTCTGGCGGAGGAGGTACTGTGGAGGAGGGAGGGTTTTATGCTGGGAGACAAGCCACGAGTTGATGCGATTGCGCTGGACGGTAGAAGCATGACATCCAAAGTCCATTGTTGTGGTCGTGTATTAGTATATATGATGCACTATCATATCTACTAACCAAGCAGGACATTTCCCGGCCAACCTGGGATGGAGAAATCGCCCTCGGTGAGAGTAGCAGCGACCGACAGCCACAGGTAGGTGCTTTGTACGAAAGAGAAAGAATAGTTTCGGGGAGATGCTTCGATGTTTGTTCACTATCGGTGAGTGGTGGTATATTAGTCGGCCATGAGTTCATCACTGTTTAGACTTGTGTACGGTGTAAATGGATGTGGAAGCGGAGGCTGAGTATTCAACGAGATCTGATAACATCTCATGTGATAGAGTAGATTAGCAGTTGAGTGGGTAGCTGCTTGAATAGTGTATAATGTTTGTTTCTGGAATTACCTTGTTAGAAAGCTTGTTTTTGAGCTAAGAGAGCGTGCATAATGCGTGATGGATACTTTATGCAAGGAATACACTGTGATCGTGATTTAATAAAGTAGCTGCCAAGAGGAAAGAGACGAGAGGACTTGCAGGGTGTCAGCATCAAAGAAGTAATGGTATATTTCGATCTCACTTCCACCACAATTATCAATTTGTCCGCTGAATACGGCACACAGCTGCCAGCCAGAATAAGCTCCCAAGACTCGCTTTGGCCAACGAGGGCACAAAGTGGCCACCAAAATGAACCTTCAGATGCAATAAATATCCAGCAGCTGACTCCGTCCCTCCCCGCCCCGATGAACTGTGTCCGAGCCAGTCAGAGCAGGTCGTGTCGTCATCCTACTCTTGGTATTGGCGGCGTACGGGATACCTGCCATCTTGGCCGTGGAATCTCGCCGAGCGAGAAGACAAGACAGCGCCGCCTCTCCACTGGCCGTTCCGCCGCCGCCACCGCCGCTCAAAAGTACGAATTGCGCCCAGTGCACCGCCGGCTTGGAATTGATGTGAGGCAGGGATGCGACGAGATGGTAACATGGAGTCCCATACCAAGTTCCCGCTCTGTTTTCTAGAAGGCGTGGCGAATCTTGGGACTATGATTGCAGTGTTGTTGTTGATGATGATGAAGATGCTGTTTGGCCTGGTCTTACTGCGTTGGCTATGATTTTGAAGATTCTAATGCAAGTAAATACGGTCAGATATGCGGAGGGATGGCATGACTCCCCGATGGAAAGAGAGCCGTGCAGCGCTTACAGGCCCAAAGTTCAGTGAAGATGGACATGGACATTCTTCGCGTACAAGACATGCGCCTTGGTCGACCACTTTCCGCTCCGCCCTGGTTGTACGACTGTCGACGCCTCAGGCTCATGGGTGCGGATGCAGGCTCGGGAGAGTGGCCTGATTCTTGACTAATGGGCAAAATGATTTGACCGAGACAGGCGAGGCCAAGTTCGTGGCGGGCCTCCGCCTCCCCGCTCGTATTTGCTTAATTGTACAACCCATTTTAAGGCTGTGCTCTGTCCTGCATGAAATTTGTTGAGTCTATCACAGCCTGAAGAGAAGCCCAACGTCTCGAGGCCTCGAGTCAGAGTTGGTAGTCGGGTCGCCACTCCTATTTCGTATTGCGGCCTAGGCTCCCCTGACCTTGCCGCCGTCAGCCTCAAGCCCTGAAGAAGCCGAAAGAACTGATGTTGTTAGCAATTTGTTCGCGACAATGGAGGAGGGGTTGCGGAAGTGCGCGGGTAGGTAGTCTTCATGCCCATGCCTCAGCCCAGAAGAGTGTCTCTGCTTAGCATACCAGTAGCAAGAGAAAAATGGAGTTCGGCTCGGGTTACCCGGTGAGCCTTCGGAAAACCTCCCAGGCTCAGACGGGAGAACATTCACTTTCTAACAATGCAGGGCCGAAGGCTTATGTATGCTTCCTTGAAAGCTTTCTCGACCGTGTCAACGTCTGCTTATCATGGGCGGGTCTGTGTTGCGTGCGCCAGCTTCACGATCTACACTGTCCATTCCAGTTTGGTCTACCGACGGCTTGTTTCCTCTAGGCAGCTTTCGAAACTGTCAGTCAGCCATGCTCGATGAGAGATTGAGAGTCACAGAGATAGCTGCAGTCTGATGAAAGAAGAACCGATCACGTCATTTCCGAGCTTATTTACCGACCGTGTAACTTCACTGCCACCACAGAGAGGATGACGCGCGGATGAAACCAAGTGCTGTGCATCACGACGAGTACCATGGCGGACTCTAGCTCTTCCGTTAGTCTAGGACAAAATCAATACGAGCAAGTACCTATGGTAGCCGGCGAGCGAGACGACGCGTCGACTTCGGGCACGGAGGAGTCCCAGCTCCGGAATGTATTCGTGTCCCCCCCATGGGAATTGAATGAGATTGGGAGGCAGCTGTAGCGGTGTAGATTAAAGTTCTGGGGGTCTGCTTTTCTTGTTTCTGACCATGAAGCAGAGAGAGCCAACATTCGCCTTCCCAGAATTGAAGCTGTTCTCCAACCGCCACAAAACCGCCCAACTTCCCGGCCATGGAGAAGATCGAAATATGCGTACATTGGCCCCGTGATGCAGGCAGATTCCATAGATTACCTGTGAATCCGTGATACATGCGATGGCTTGTCCGCGGACGGAGTGCGCATGTACTATAGTTGTTGCATGGAGAGAAGAGAGATCTGCAAGGATCTAGGAAGATCTCGGGCTTGGTCACTCTCGCCTCAAGCGCTTGATGCTGACAAGCCCTCGCCTAGAGCAGGTCAAATCGCGCCGATTTAGATGATGATAGAGGCCAGAGTTCCCTCTCTCGGACGTATCGACTCCGGCACTTGGGCCCGATCTGCAGCTTGGCAGTGCGAACTTTGGCATTGTAGCGCAGATCATTGTTCGCTCCTCTCTATTTGCAACACATTCCACGCGGCTTTCGAGTTGCTGGCCACGCTCAACCGCGCGTCATCCTGCAAACAAGCGCAGAAAACTGGATCCAACGGTTCCCCAGAAGTGGGTGGCAAGGCCCAAATGCTGTCATTACGTACAAAACGGGCGACCACTACTGCACCGTCTCCACAGTCGCACATCCAACGGCCCATGAGATGATGCGGCTCTACAGTCAGCCATGTTTCCACACAAGGACGATCAGAGCGCCCCTAAATCTGGTTGCAACAACCCATGGCATGGGCCGGCTCTCTGTGACAAGGGAGCCCGGCTGACGATCAAAACGAGGCTGTGTTCAAGATAACGAAGCAACAAAAGATCCCGGCGGCCCGCTGACGCCAGCCTTGGCACCATGAGTGTTGATGAGAAACGAGATTATCAGATGCCGACGGTCGACCTTTGCCAGTGTCACGGCCTCATGGCTTTCCTCTGGGCAGCCAGCACCTTTGTCCTCCTGATTGGCTTGGCACATGCCCAGAGCACTCCTCGTGAGTCTTGTTCATTTCTACAAACTGCCCAGAGGCTCAGGAGTAACACTGGAGAGTGCTGTACATTCCCCAGCCTGGTAAGGTGGGTGGAGCTGTTCCTTGGCTCGTGCAACCCACCGGCCCAATAATCTAGCCAATTTACTATCCCGCTGACACTGCCAAGTTTGGGCCCGCTCCGCCTCCCGGTACAGACTATGGCAGCGCCGCAAGCCCCCTTTCTTCATCGAAAATCAAATTGCTGTGTCCGAATGATTAGAGTTTGTACTACCGACCAAGATAGTACAAGCCTATCAGGGTTCAGACAGGCGGCACATGGGTGTGGCTGAAATCTACAAAGCCCATGTACCGTAGTGGTCTCGACCAGACTCTTCCAATGGTTACATGCGTGCAGAGGAGAGGGATAGTGCACCGAAGATGGTGGCAAGATGAGGTCACCCTGAAGAAAGGAAAACAAGAGAGAGAAAAGAAGAAAAAGAAAAAGAAGGGCTCCCTTTGAGCCTGCATACTTGGTCGTGTTCGTCGACTGACTGTTCCGTCGGGTACCGTGGGGAACCAGCTAAGATGGACCGGAGCCCATGCATCTGCGACTCAGATCACTGCTTATCGGCCCTCTGCAGATGGCACCCAAGCTTCGGGCTTCCCAAAGTCCAGCATGGATAAAACAGCAACGAACTATTCCCTGCCATGGGCGGAATCAAGGACACCGTATTGCCTTGGCTGTTCCTTGGTCCTGTACCCTTGCGTTGCTTGTACCTGCGGCATTCGGTTCACATTGCACGGCTGTTTGACTACCACGTCACCATGGGCAATGAGAGTCGCACCCTGCCTATGCGCGAGCTGTCAAGGAGTGGAGCTGCAATAGCCTTGTCAATGGCACTATATGGATGGGTAGGCAATAGGTGTAGAAGCCTTGGGCTTCCAAGTACATAGCCCAGACCCATGATTTGGTACACATCCGCCCCCCCCCCGAGACTGTACATACTTATACCTGCACTCCCCACGGACGTTGGTCGTGCGCAACGCCGCTTCCTCTGCTATCAGTGCGATCCATTAGGCGCGACCTCTCCCACACGTGCCCCCTAGGTTGGGTATCTGCATCGCCAATCTTGCAAACACAATCCCACGTATCCGGATTGCTCTTGCCTGGCTCCAAACTTCCCGCACTCCTTCTTCACCGTTGCTCACTTTGAGAAGATGACCGGCCCCATGGCTTCACCGTCCTTCGACAGGCAAAGTCGAAAGGACAGTTCAGCTTCGTTGTCGTTGTCGATCTCCAGCTCAGGAACGTCAGCCATGGCAGGAAGTGCATCATCGGCTCTGAACAACGAGCCAGACTGGCCTCGATCATGGCGAGCCTATGCTTGCATGGTAGGCTGTGTCTTGCTCATGTTCAACTCCTGGGGACTTGTGAATGCTTACGGTACTTGGTCTTCCTACTACGTCGGCCACTCTCTGCGCAATGTGGACCAGCTCAAACTCAATCTGATCGGATCAACACAATCTGGGATCGTCTTACTTTTATCCAATCCTGTTGGTCGATTACTGGATGCAGGCCATTTCCGCAAGGTCATCGGCTGCGGTACCCTTCTCGTACCTCTCGGTCTTTTTCTGCTGTCCGTGGTACACCCCAGCGACGTTGAAGCCATTACCAGCTACTTGCCCATCTGGGCGACGCAAGGACTCGTGATTGGATTGGGTATGAGCACCTTCTTTGTTTCGAGCTCTCAGAGTAAGTCACTGCTTTCCAAAGACGAAGGCGCCCGTGCTAATGACCGTGTAGTCGCTTCCACATGGTTTCCAAAGCGAAGGGGCCTTGCTGTCGGCTATGTCGCTTGTGGTGCCAGTTTAGCAGGAGTCGTCTATCCAACAATGCTTCGTTATCTGATCGCACTGGTTGGCTTCAACGATGCCGTCCGCTATGTCGCAACTCTCACGGCAGTTACCTGCCTGTTTTCGTTCATTTTCTGTACCCCGAATCCAGAACATGATCACCATGAACCCAAGAAATGGGCCGCGGTTGAAACCTGGTTTGACATGGACGCATTTCACAATACGGCTTTCTGTTGGTTTACTGCGGCCGTTGCCTTTTTGTTCCTGGGTTTCTACCCCATCTTCTTCAACTTGGAAGAGGTATGTAACCCGTGCGCCTAGGCCTGAATTACGTCACGTACTAACAGCAAAACAGTGGGCATCGGTCAGAGGCTTCGGCGTCCGAATGGCGACCAAGAACGCCGACGATGCTGCCGTGGAGGACAGTTCTAACAGACCTCTGGAGACCTTTTGGCTTCTCACCATTATGAACGGAGCATCCACCGTCGGCCGCATGCTTCTAGCTCATTTCGCCGACGTCGTTGGCGCACTCAACATGCACATTGGCTCTACGATCGTCGGTTCCCTCCTTGTATTGATACTCTGGTCGCTTGCTGGATCCGAGACCGACGCCATCGCATTCTGCGTCGTCTTTGGGCTTTTCTCAGGCATGATCATCGGCTGCCCTCCAGCATCGGTTGGAAACATTTTGAATTGCACCTACACATCAAAAGAGCTTCAACCCTTGTCGAAGCAAAAGCTGGGTCACTGGACTGGCATGATGTACTTCTTCGCCGGTGTTCCAGCCCTTACTGGCCCTCTCATCGCTGGCAGCCTCATCACAAAGTACAAGACTTACCTCACCGTCCAACTGTGGTCTGGCACATGTCTAGTGGTCTGCTTCTGCTGCATGATTATAGCCCGCTGGTACCTACCATCGTACAGCGGCTTCACTGCCAAAGAAGAAGTTGTTCGCTTCTTGAAGCAAGACTACCCCGAGAAAGAATGTAAGGAAAGCGAAGCCACCATGGTCGAGGCTCCTGAGGCGCTCTCCCAAGCTCCTACACGAGTCGCAAGCACGATGCCTTCGCGACACGGATCTTCTGAGAAGGTCAACTCGCCGGGAGATGTGGTGTAAAGAGGATGGTTGCGTTGAATGATGTTACGACTTCACGAGACGCTTTGATGGGTATTATGAGTATGCAGCCTCAGGGATTGGTGTCTGATAGCGATTTTCAACTTCTTTCCGTTTAGGTATTCATCTCTTTTCCTGTTCCCTTTTGGTAGTGGGAGGCATCGAGGCATTGGCTCCTCCTGTACCCTCAGCTCCGTCCTGTTTTCGAGATACCCGCTATGGCCACGTAGGCGCAGGGAGCTCCTCGAAATAGAGTCGAGCATCAGCTCGCGGAGTGCCTCAACAGCACTCATATTGCGACATTACCACGTAGAGTTTCTGTATCATAGACTTCCTTTCAATCTAGATTCATTTCATAACCGTCGTCTATCTCGACATTGCAGTCACTGTGAATCAAAACATGCTGCAGCAAGCTCCCCAACCGACGCATGGCCAACTCACATTAAGATAATGCGTTGCGAGAACACAGACATGTCGCAACTCTCACCTCACCGCTGTATGACCTCCGTATTACAGCCCGACCTGCAGTCATCATCACAACCCCGACTCAACAACGCATTCAACCAGGGCCTTCACAGCCGTCGTCATCCGTATAACCCCGAACCTCCCCATCCAATCCTGTTCCTACCCCCAAAATCCATCACCCTTTGCCATTTCATTCCCCTAACACCGTTCATCCCCCATCCCCCCCAATCTCGCCCCAACGCACGCCCCATAGCGCCACTACCGCGGCTAACCCCACCAGCCGTCGCCACATCAAACAGCACCACCGCTTTTCCACACGGAATAGCGCATCGCGTGGCGTTGTTGTGCATGCATCCGCTGTAGAATGTATAGAGCTGATCATCGCTCATCTCATCTCGCATATGGTATACCGTATGAAACTACAGGAAATACCTTGAACGTACAGTATACACGCACGTATACACACATGTACATGCATACACGTGCGCTTCGATAAGAAAATGCATTGCATTATGGCGGAGAAGCACGACGTATAGCACCCTTGGGTACCGGACTGCATTGCTGAACCGAGACATTACCTACGATATGGTACCTAGACTTGACTCGATTGTGTAGTACCTACTATGCTATTCCGCCCAGTTCTTCACCCCGCTATTGCAAGATGAGATATAGCGGGAAAAAAAGGGGAAGGTGGCAGTATACACCGAATTAGGGTTGAAGGCGTGGTGGTACTATACCGGTACTTTACGCTGTGCATGATGCGGATCAAGTTAGTCTAATGAAGGACTGTGGAGATTGAGATGCAGATGGCGGCTGGCTTGGGTTGAATTGGGGAGGTTGAGGACGCGTACATGTTGACCGTTGAGGGTGTGGCGCGGGTTACCGGTACTTGGCATGTGGGTGTATTGTGTGATTGCAGTGGATGCTGGAGTAGGTACCTACCTACCGTACCTATCCGCTCCCGAACCCGTACCCGTATCTAGAGTAAAATATCCCTCCAATATGCCAACCAGCCCTTCATCTCTCACAAAAAAAGCCCCCCTTACCACCCAAACACCCCCCCAAACCAACCCTTCAAACCCGCACCACCCACATACACTCATCCCGCCTCCCCCCACCCATACACCCACTCCACCTCAATCGCACAAAACAAAAGAAAAAAAATCCCGTTTGTGGGGCGAAACCCACTCCTCCCGCTACTCCAAACCCACATCATTGTACCACCACTGCAACGCACCGTGCACGCCTACTCCACTCCACTCCACTCCACCTCCATCCCATCTCGCATACACATATACACATATGCATACATATGCACAAGTCTGCACACGCACTCGCACCAACCAAACACCAGGGCCAGGGAGGCTCTGTCGAACCCAAAGTCTTGGGGTCTGGTGTGCATGCTGCGAGGCCGCGGTTTGTCTGGATTGGGTAGTTGGGATCTAGATTAGGGGAGTCTGTTTTGCGGTTTCTGAGGGGTGGGTGAGGGGGGAGGGGGGACTTGGCATGTGGGACGAGGAATGTTTTGGTTCAGGGAGGGGGTTAGGGATGGGGATCTGGGGGGCTAGATCGAAGTGGGGGGGTTTGTGATGATGATTATGATTATGATGATGATGATGATGATGATGATGATGATGATGATGGGGTTTGGTGCAAGAAGCGATGGGGTTGGTAGGTTGGATTGGCGAACGTGTGATATGTCTAGGTGGTAGCGGTACTTTGAGCTGAAGAAGGAATGCATGCGGATGTGTGAAGCTTCGAGCTTTTGGATTTCATTTCTCTTTCTTTAATCTTTCTGGCTCAGCTTGGCGGATCGTAGATATGACGGTACCTAGGAGGCAGCAGGCCGCGAGGAGAAAATTGTCTTCGTCCTGGTCATCATAGTCACCGAACGACTCAACTCAGCATAAAAGTGGTCGCTGCACATACATAGATACCTACACCGTTCCACCATCCCATCCACACAAACACATCAGCAAGAAAGCCCACTACCCTTCAAGCACCTGTATTTCTCAAAACATACCCCTCCCTCTCCCCTCTCCCATCCTATCTCATCTGCACCCCTCTCCGTGTCCGTACCACCAGTGCAGTCTTGGCCGTCTCGCGTCATGTTACACCAAGGCGGCTATGTCTACTGTAAAAGCAGCGAAAAGCCAAGGCTCCGCCGTGACGCGTTTGCGGCACCCTTGATCGTATATGTGTGGGTGTGGCGTTCGGGATAGAACGGCTGTGGTAGCATAGTGTACGTATACTTTGGGTTGTTTGGGATGAGTCGTGTCGTGTGATTGATAGTATGTCATGGGTACTTTATCAAAGAGGATGAGGTCTCGCTTGGCGAGCGCACGAGAGACGGTTAGGGGCGGAGCAAATGTGTCAGTGTGGTGTGCGTCGATCTGGTCTTGCCCTGTGTAGACAGTATGTCCTAGCAGTAGATTGAGCCGTACAAACAGGCGTGGACACTAGATCTCTGTAAATTCCAGTTTCTCTGAAGACTTTGGAAATAGAATTGAAGGGGGATTATTATCATTGATATCTGGATACGCGTAACAAACAAGCAATGTGCATTGAACCATCAAAGACGACATCAGGGATATACCTCTACGCAAGCAAAGGACGCCGATTATGCGAATTATGCTCAGACCTTCAAAAGACCTGCTGATACTGCAATGCTAATGATGTGGATATCTGGCGCTCCCTAAAACAACGTTCGAAACTCCCTAATCCAGAATTCATGTCAAGATTCGTGTGGCGAGCCAGACGGCCGGCCTCTCAAATCTTGCTAAGCAGATGATTGCAAACGTCTTCCCCGCGGTGGGGGAGGTGCGGGTGCTGCAGGCTTGCCGAGACTCGGTGTCTGCACACCTGGTTTCTCGGTATGCGTGGCAATCTCAAGGACGCTGTTTGTACTTTCACCCGCTCCGTGTACGCTCATGCCCAGCGCGCGCCGAGCAAACTCCTTCTGGCCGTTTGCGGATTGCTCAGCTGGAGACTGTGCATTACTGTGGTCGTTGGCGGAATCGCCACCTGCAGTGCTTGCTGGCGGTTGCAACCACTGCACACTGGTGCAACGTTTGACAAGTCGTACGGTAGTGTCATCGACTGGCGCGAAGTGGTTACCACTGGATACAAGCACATGTAGAAGTCGAAGGAGATCTTCTCGCTTGTAGTGTGGTGGTTTGCTGATTTGACTGTGTGTAAGGATGGGATGAAGCACCCTTAGGTATGTGTGCCGTAACGCATTAGCGGCGGGAGAGTCACGAGGCAAGTCGATAAGGTTACGAAGTATAACATCCACTAGAACATGAAGATCGTTCGTGTAGAAGTACTCGGCGGTTGAAGGGCTCCCGAAGATGAGGTAAAGAACTTTGAGAATAAGAAGTTGAAGGGACGTCTCTGACTCCCGGTTTAGAAGCAGAATCAAGTTGCAGCCAAATGTTTTGTAAGTCATGCCATGAGTCGATAAAGCTTTGATCACTCGGTTCGTTATGCCAGGGCGTCCGTCGGCATAGCGACTCGTAGAAGCGACAAGGTACTGTTCGTTCAAGACCAGCTGTCACACAGATTAGCTTGACGCAATCGAGACAAGAGCATTCGACGGACCAGAACACGAATTACTGGATAATGGTAAGGATCCTCGGAATCATGAGATGCACCCTCGATGATACCCAGTAGAAAAAGAATGAAGTCATCGGTCACAGCGACTATGCACAGATTGAGTCAGCCTACATGGCACGTCTTCGATGCCTCCACAACAGCAGAGGAGCCATTGCACATACGGAAGTCTTCGTAGGTCAAGCGCTGTATACGCGAAGATTCGTACAGTAGCTCAAGGAGCATCTGGTGGAGCCGGACGTCCTCCTGTACGCTGTCCATTTGCACAAGTTCGACGAGCCGGGCAAAGGAGCCTTCCGAGTGCATCATCTCGAAGACTTCATCGTCCTTGCTGTTCTTTCCGTCGTATAGCAAAAAGGCGGCTGTAATGTGGAGTGTCGGATTGTCCTCTTCCTGCGATCTGATCAACCCTTGCTCGTGTGTACCCTCCTGTCCGCGCCCATGACATGTCACACGCACCTGCAGAATGCAATATATTATCTGCCGACGCACATATTCCCTATGTGAAGCGAAGAGCTCACCCTCGAGCAAGCGAAAGATGCATTTCGCGATACTGTAGTCGGTCTGCAGGTATTCGGCTGGTGCATGACTGATTAGTGGCCAGTCGGGCGGTGCCAAGTAGGTAACGGCATACATTTATAACTTGTGGTTACATTCAGATAGGAACGCAGGGCGTTGTCGATGGCCTCGTGTGCCTGACAGCGAGTCGATACAATGTCGTCGAGTTCTGTGTGGCGCGTCAGTGAGGGTGGTGTGCAACAGGCGGGGTGACCAAGGCGGAATCATTCACCATCCCAGAACTGCTGTTCATTCTCGAGGTTGTACGACACCTCAAATGCCATGTCGAAGTCGCGGCGGGTCTACTGCTGCAATCATCCTCTCCAGCGACGCAGGCTTTGGGCAGAGGTCGCGGAAGGCGCAATCTTGTTGTTTGGTGTTGTTCATGTTGCCGAGAGTTCGGCGTCACCTGGTCTATTTTAGGCATAGCCAGCTCATCCATACAACAGCATCCATGGCCGGGGATCGCTCGCTGGCCAGGGTGTGTCAACGTGTGACCATTTCATCCTCTATTCTAACAGACATGCAAGAGTCACGCGGCATTTTCTGATTCATCTGCTTCTATGGTTACTCTATCGTAAACTCGAAAGATTCATATACATGAAACCTCATCTTGGTCATTCTCTTCGCCACATACCGGTACCACTCACATCCTTCACCCATGTTTTCACTTTGCCCCCCATCAATGATCATTTGGGAATTGAAATGTGGACGCTGGATAATACCATACCATTTTTCTTCAGCGCTCCATCAAAGGGCAGTCAAGTATATTGAAGAATTATTGGGGCCTTTTCTATTTGGGCTCCCTTGGCCAAGTATCTGTCAGATCTACTTGATACCACGCATATGGTGGTTTGATGGCCCATTCATATAGTGAATGAGCAGACATTTATGATGATTGCTACTATTAAAGCCAACAGCATTCATTCATCAAGCAAATGGTGCAGCGCGGATATCTACCAAACCTTCATCTCCAGAACGCAATTTGATCTTCTACGGCCTGTAGCTTGCACCCGGGAACTTGTTGAACAACTGATTATCAAACGCAGCAAGCTGAGGGCAGTTCAACGACTGCGAAAGGGGGCCAAGCTGCTGTCTTGCCCATCCAAGCACCGATCCTACCGCACCGAGCAGAGGATTACTGATGTCGGGTAGCCCAGCAAGAGAAGCCTGAAGCAAGAAACACACGCCGTTGTTGCCCTCTGCAAGATCGGCGAGGTTAAACACGCCACCGGTCCAGTCTGTCATGTCAACACCCGCAAAAGAGTCGACAGTGCCAGTGTTACCACCGAAGCGTATGCTGCCGGGGTAAATCTATCAAGAGAGGCAATTAGCTGTTTGCATTCAACACAGAGGGCTGAAAGATGTTTTTCCACTCACAGCATTGTTGGCAAGAAGGTCGGCGACGGCTTTCACACCGTTGTACGCCTCGATGCCACCGGGCCTCTTGTACCAGTTCTCTGGGATACGCTCCTGGCCAGGGTTATGTACAAAGTTGCCAGGCTCACCGGTAACGGCAAAGAACTGTTTGAGCACGTCACGGGTGAGCGTGCCACCAGGCACTTCGGCACTGTGATTCGACATGAAGTTGATGACAAAGTTGTGCGCAACGGGCGCTACTAGGCCGGAAAATGGTCCGGAGAAGTAGTAGGGGTTGTTGAGGATACTCCAGCGAGTGACGTAGTCAGATTGTTCGGCAATGTCGTCGAGTGTGTACTCTTCGGCGCGGGCGTAAAGGGCTTCCCATGAGCGCATTTGGAAAACACCGACGTTACCGCCGTTAAGGTAGGCATCACCCTTTAAATTGTTCAGTAAATGGTCTGTCGCGTAGTGCAGTTGTAAGACGTACTCTGACAATCGATGCGTCACCTTCATACTGATTGTGTGTGCCTTTGGTTTCCATGAGCGCAAGTCTACTACTAGCTACAGTTGTACTTGCCTAAGAGTCCACTTGCCGGGAACAGAGGAAGAGCGGGTGAAAATTCACCACCAATGGACCATCTCGAGGTGAGTGGATCACCGGAGAGAGCAATGGCAATGACAGACAGCAATAGCGCCAACTCTGGAGCCATGTTGTATGCGGCTTCTAAGCCAGCCATAGCTGTTCGGCTTGGTCAACTACGTCCCCATCACACGGTTATTACGGCAACCCGACTTACTCTGAGTGGTCGACACGATACCATTGCGAGGAATGAAGCCGTGGTTGGCTCTGTATGTAAAGTCAATAAAAGAGTTTGATAAAACACATCCTAGGAGAGCTCACGCAGCATTGAGACCTGGACACTGGCCTCGACGGTCACCCGATCGGGGTGCAACAAACTCATTGCCACTGCCCTGGCTGACATTGACGTATTGTGCTTGTGCGTCAAAGGTCGGTGCTAGCGAGCCAGCTCCTGTGTTCGGCCGACCTGTGCGGAAGAGCGGTTCGCGCGGAGGTGGTTCTTCGCGTCTGAGCAGCCTGTCGTTCATCTCCATGACATGAGGCCATGCTGTGACAAGGGGGAGGATGGAAAGAAGAGGAAGAGTGTTTAGGATCATTTTGAATATAATGAGAAGGTACTGTGCTGTCCCCGGTAGCCAATACATTGCTAGAAGGGAGGATGGTATTTATGTAGAACTTTGAAATCGTTCGAAGAGTGCATGTCGAAGATCCCCTACAAGTCGATCACTGAAGCCCAGCGCTTTGATATTCCCTCTGATTAGTGGGACATTCATTGCGGGGCAGATTAGTACGAAGCAGCCTTGGAAAAGTCATTCATCATGTCACTAGAGAATACGCGTGGTAGCGTGGACAAGGTGGAGAGCGGCATCGTGAGTATCCGAATCGTGGCAGGCCAGGGGTTCATCATCCTAAGCCACTAATACTCAAGGACCAAGGATCCGGCTGAGAGCTTATAACGTCATTCATATCAGGGAAGCTCCTTGGTATGGTATTGTTAAGCACAATTGCGTGCCTAGCTAAATTGAATAATGCCATCAATGTCGTACAGCAGTGTCATGACGGTCCAAAGCGTATCTTGCCTCTGGTGTTTCTTAGCCGGGCTCAATTGGTGATTCTTTTGTCAAGGAGTACTAAGCTCATCCTGTGTAAATAAGCGAAAGTCGAATGGACAGAGGATAGACATGATCAGCCCTCGCGCAAAGATGATCATTGTTTCTATAATTCTTTTGTTTCCCCTTTTCCGCCACATACGACCACAGGACACTGAAAACTAGGCTTCCCGTCCGCTCAGCCATATATAAGCAGTGTACCGGCGGATTAGTAGTTAGGTGGGTGACCACTAGCGAATCCCCGCTGTTGTATGTTTTTGTTTTTTCGAGTGTTGTGAGCTGGTGGTAGTGTGTGAAGGAAGAGTGTATGTTTTTGCTATTTACATTATGTTTTTGAGTCAGAGAGACATGTGTATTTTGCGGGAGTATAGATGGAGTCTAGGCTGTCTCTACGTCACAGGGGTGGACAGCCGTATATCAAGCACTCACTTCTTTTCCCAGCGCTTAGGGATGCAAAGTGCCGATAGAGTAAGGCCGTTGTCAGATATCCAAGGAGATATTCAGTCTTCCTTGGGAAACATGACGCTGCTATATTCAAGACCATCCAGTCTTTGCGGCCTATCCTCTCCACGATATAGCATCTTGCATGCCACTGCAGCTCAATGCTCGGTGCGCACCACGAATGAAGCTTAGCCGACCACCCAAATGCCCAAAGGAGAACCTAGAACCTGTCGTATCTCATCGTAGATCTCATTGTTCCCCACCACCCACAGAACAGATTTATTGCCGCCATTTGACACTTGCCTGCAACGAGCCAGCCCCAAGACAAGCCAAGCTGCTCTGCTGATATATCCTACTGCCCACACTGGACGCGCCCGCCTGCACTGTTGTAAAGCCGAGCCAGGCGTGCGAAGAAAAGCGGGGTGAAGCAAGCGGAAGCAGCAGGCAGTGAAGTGAAGCAGAGAAGCGATGGATGGGCTAAGCAGTATTGGGGTGCGGATAGTCCCTGCGCTAAACCTAAACGTGCCGCCGCGAGTCGAATTACCCCACATACTCGGCATTTCTACTATCCATCTTGAGACTCGATGCCCTGGGCTGTTTCTCGATTCGGCGTGCAGATTGATATTGTGAAGTTGCTTTTGCTGGTGCTGGGAGGGAGGATTGACTCGTGTGGGGAGGGGAGGGACCGTGATGCACGCGCATCACCTATGGGCGTGGTGGTTGGTATGACAATAGTTCCTGCGTGTACCGAGGCTGGTTTTGCAGGGTGGATATTGGGTTGGGGTCTGGAGAATGTTGTGATGGATTTGAAGGGGTGGATATATTGTAATAGATATAAAAGGGTATACCTAGGGCAGAAGGAAAGGAATGGCTTGTTAGAGTCATTATGGGTGGATGTATCTCTTTGTAAATTGCAGGTAGATGCGTGCCAAGCATCCCGACGAGTCCTCACGACGTCCTGACGCCAGGGATGGATGGGAAGCTAGGTGATATACTCTAAACCCCAACCTATCCATGGAGGACAGCCCCCAAATCCACTACTACTACCAGTACTATCCTGCCAATGTAAAGCGAGTTCTTGCCTCTGGTTCAAGCGCATTCACCGATGACACCACCGTGCTCAAGTACCCACTTGCCCCCGGCAAAGACACGATCCGCCTGGAGACAGAAGGAAAGCTACTGAACATCATCGGACCACACGAGCGCATCATTCGCCTAAAAAGGAATCTCAGACGACGGTCTCTACCTCGAACGCGCACCCAACGGAACCATCGCCCAACACATTGAATCTCACAGCCCTACCATCTCCATCCAACAGCGACTAACCTGGTGCCGGGAGACGGCCGAAGCAATCGTCCAACTACACACCCACAATATGATCCACTGCGGAATCCAGCCCACAAACCTCCTCCTCGACTGGGATCTACACATCAAACTCTCCGATTTCCAGGGCAGCTCGTCCCCTTACTGTATCGTCCTAGCAAAGGACCACATATCCGCAAACTTGCAATAAACAATCCAAGGGTTGCCACATTTGCCTCGTTTTGAACTTGTAAGCAATCTAGTCTGGCTGTCGTGCAAGATCGGGGTGTTAGAACAAATTAAGTATGCAGTACTAGAATTGTCGACAACACTGCCGCGCTTGCCTAGTGGGGACGTTGCCCCACAGCCATGAACAGACTCACTAGAGCCAAGCTAGAAGGCACAGACCCCCGCTTTCTCTCTTTAAATATCTCAGTTGAGATCTAATCTGCTTCCTTCTACACTTTTAAATCCCCTACAAGTTGTCGCAGGAAAACAAGACAGCTAAATAAAAAAAAAAAAACCCCAAAAAAATTGCAAAACATACAACAGCGGGGATTCGCTAGTGGTCACCCACCTAACTACTAATCCGCCGGTACACTGCTTATATATGGCTGAGCGGACGGGAAGCCTAGTTTTCAGTGTCCTATGGTCGTATGTGGAAATATTCTTTGCAGGATAGTATTATGTAGCAAATATCAAAACTCTCAGACACATGAAATTGATGAGACATCGAGCCCGAGAATGGGGTGGCGGAGGTTCGAATGACGACAATACAGGGAAGCTATCAAATTGTGCCAGGTAAGTTGAGGTGTGGGAATAAGGTGACTGGCGTTGGACAGCTTGAGATGTACTGTGTCGCAACGGCGCCGCCGTTCACATTTATTGGCCAACAAGCTTTAGCTGAATGCCGAGACACTACGTTTTTGTTTAAAAGCTACCGTACTCGGCATCAGAAGCGAGTTAGGACAATCCTATCCATGAAATGGCTACTCCTACTAGCCTTAATTCGCTAGATAGCAGGATTGCCCTACGCTGGGGCGATGTAAATTCCCCGTGTAATCGCCACAACCTCATGCGACTAATAAGACGAAATATTCCACCAGAAAATATGAGACTGGCACACTCACAAGCTGGCCGTAAAAGCTTAGAGTACTCTTGTGATCGATTACGCTATATTTCTTCATTGCTAAGTTACATTGCGGAAAAGACGACAAAATGGCGAACAACTGACATGTCGGCGTAGGTTACGATATATAACTGAGAGTAGAAGCTTGACCAAAGTCCAAGGAAACCAAGAAAGCAAAGAGCAAGGTGCATAAACGTTAATAGAACAAAGGCGCCGAGGACTGGAGGAGATTGGGAGACCAGATCGATCATCGGCTAGAACATGGCGCAGTGTGTTGGACACACGCAGATTTGCCAGGTCGGAAAGGCTTCTCCCGCTTCGCAAATGATTCTGAAATGTGGGAGTTGACTCTTATCTATCATATCGTACCACTTACCTTTGTGGCGTTGGACTAGGAAACTCCGAGGTGATGTCTGATCCCCGCCGTCAGCACACGTATACTGTGTCTTAGTATGCCTTGTTCCGCTCAAGCTTCTTCAAACCCTTCTTTTCATTCTCTTTGTCGTGCTCAAACACCAACTCCAATCTCTCCTCTGTCTCCCCTGTTTCCCCAACGCTGACAGTGGCCACTCTGATGCCCACATTTTTGCGAAACGTCTCCATTGAGTCGAGGCCAACCGAGATATGTCCAAGATCACCCGGATTCCTAGACTGGAGCGCTAGCATGATGAGTTCCGTGGCCGAGTTCCAGGCCAAGGATGTATGGCCGGTCACGTTGATGTAAGTGAGGTATGTGAGGGTGACTACGCAGTATGTGACGATGACTGCGACTGCGAGTTGAAATGACACTTGGGTAGAGCCGTAACCAAAGCCGAGTACGCATGATTCGACCTTGAAGAACATGGAAGAAGACGATCTGCCCTTACTCGGCTCGCTTTGTCCGATAACGAGATCATGATCAATACCAAGCTCGCTTTCGATGGAGCGACCAGGATATCGCGCTAGCTCAGCGAGAAAGAGAGCTTGCATGGATACTGCTGCGTCCAAGTCGGAGGTACTCCACATCCACTTTGAGAAATCGATCGAATAGAGCGCGGCTACACCCTCGACATCAATGGTGATTGGCCTCAGATTGGCTTTCGTCGTAAGCATATTTATCTGGGGCCATTCAGTCTGTATAACGTCGCCCATATTGCTGGCACAGAATGAAGTTTTTACCGTCCACCAGAATGGCGAGACAATGCAGGTCATAACGTCGGGCGGCGCGGTCCCGTGCGTCAAGTAAAATAACCCAAGAAGCGAGGTTGGATCATCTGGCATTGATAGCCAATGGGATGGATGAATATCTGGATTATCAGGAAGTCCCGTCTTATTTAGCAGCTTGGCGTACAGGTCGGCCGCGTTGGGAAGGATTCTCGGGGACCCGTTTCTGGGAAAATACTGGATCTTGTCCGTGCTGTTGTTCAATGTGCACGAGACCATGACCACAGGCTGGGTTGTTTCGAGAATCCAGTTGCCTGGTATTGAGCCGTAGTTTTGCAGTTGTAGGCTGCTCAACATTGTGGGCATTGACATGATGGACCAATTACCCGCAGACGTATTCGTTTGAGAAACCCTAAGATCCAAGTGAAGAGTCACTCTTTGGGCCTTTTTTGAGATGTCAGGCACAAAGTACTGCAACTGGTTTTGCGATTCCGAGGCACTAACGCTGCCCTTTCTTTGCTCCATCTTCTTGACAGTTTCGTAGTCGTTACTGTTGCAATCATTAGCTCTAACACATGAGCGAAGATGCCAACGCGCTCACAAGGTCAAGTTCTGGGTCCTGTCTATATAATCTGGAAACAGACCCGCTTCCGAGGTGTTCAGGTAGCGGGTGGTAGGGTGGCTTCTGTGCGGCAACCCCGGTCGTGGAATAATCAGAATAGCGGATGAAGGACCAACAGTTGCGGTTATGAGAGTTAAAACTGACACCGACAAAGCAAACATGATCTTACGCCACACACTGTAGCTAGGAGATAAGATGGCAGAGACAAAGTCCAGCGACCATAGATAGGATAATCGAGGGGCGTGTGCGGCTCCAGCTAGCGCACCGAATGGCAGAAACCCCTCAAGCGCTTGGACTCGTATTGTGTATAGGAGTACATCAATAATTGATGCCTGCATGACAAGCTCATGGGCCTTGGCTATGATTTGTAGGGTTGTTGCGTTGTCTGAGGTTCCACCCACCCAACTTTTGGTCCAGTAGAGGGCTAGTAAGGTGAAAGCTCCTGCTAGAGGGACTACATGAAGAAGGCTGATCATGGCTGCCATGCGTCGACTCTGATATGAAGCCACCTTCGGTCGCTCCACTGGTATCCTCCGGTACATTCCCCGACAAAAAAGAGAGTTTGGGAGTAGAAGTCGGGCATGTCTCAAGAAGTCTTGAAACATCGTAGACTGTGGTAGGGATACAACATGTCCGTTCTTTACTGGCCGTGTTTCTAGGAGGCTGGCGGCTGAACTCCTGCACAGCTTAGTAAAACAGACCAGCAGTGGGAATGGGTATACGCACGATACTTCGGTCAGTTCGCGCCCAAAAAGGGCTTTGCCGTGCATGTCGCCGGATAGGAGGAGGGGGCAAGTTACGCTGAGCGTATACACCTCGAGCTACGTCTTATGCTTTAGCCGTCGGTTCAGAAGCGAGCATGAAGTTCGCCGAAGAGGGAAAGACATGGAATCGAAGATATAAATGTCGCCATCGGAAAACATATGTGTAGCATCGGGTGAGACGCTGTTATACTGCATGCTCAGCTGCGATTTGACGAGGCCGAGCCTAAGGGTAGAAACGTATCCGTGTGAAAGGTCATCGTCCGTGCACCAGTAGTTGCTGATTATGAGATTCTATACATGTAGGCAATCAAAGCAAGTCGCAACCACTGAATCATGCCGTGTGTTGTGGCGTGGCGTTGCCCACTACCGGTCTGATAGCTGTGGAGAAGCACTTCGCAAGCAGCGTCTCTGTCTAACACATGATCACGGCGGCGTCAGGCAAAGCCATATCTCTCTGATCATCTCAAGGGTACCCATTGATAGGTGAGGGGTAATTTGAGCCGTCGCTGACTATCTTGTGTTCGGTCGCAGAAGGTGCCGACCCATCGTCGATAGTGTCCTGAACAATAGGTATCTGACAGCGATTGCGGTCCCCTCGGGGATTTTCAATCTCTTCACATCCAGGGAAACCAGTCGTCAACGCCGTATAGAGGCCTGGTGTGCCTGGGCCACAGTCCAGAATTGAGATACCGATAACTGTAGGCCACAGCTGCCGTGACGAAATCTGACACCTTCAGTTACACCGTGTGGTCGCCAGCAGAACACGAAGCGAGGATCGCGCATTGCGTCGTGTGTTTGCGGCAAGACGAAATCCCTCAACACCCGCATCTACGCTATGCAGCATGGCCAGTATGAGGGCGTCGTATTCCGCGACCATTCGAGTGCATAGCATCACCCGCGCAGAGGTTTGCAGGCGGTCATCTTGGCCTAGTATCTTAAATAACTGCTCCCCAGGCCTCGCATGATCGAGTCCAGCCGAGGTACATGAGACGTACGACGTCAACAGGATTGTTTGTCAGCTGACAACGTCAACATCCAAACAGCTGTCCGAAACAGGCAGCGTGTTGCTCGACGGCTGGAGCAGCGAACCCTGCCGGTTCTAGAGTACTGTCTGCGCGATGACCCGTTTGAGGCAAATGTCAAGACGGATCTGTTTGCCCTGGGTTGCACGATTTACTTCATCATGACCGGTCATGCCGTGTTTCCTGATGTGGTTGACGGGGAGGAGGCTTGGCATGAGACTATCGAACGTCGATTTAGGGACCGGGAGTTCCCGCAGGACCGACATGTGTGCGATGTAGTTACTGGCAAGTGCTGGAACATGGAATACGAGGCTGCAGAGGATGTGGTGCCGGATTTGGAGAGTCTGGAAGGTGTGCATGTCTCCGAGGATGGGTGGGGAGGGACATGTGAAGTTGGGTATGTGGGAGGGGGGGGGGGTTTGAAATTATCTAGATCTGAGCTTCGTCTCCCTTGAAGAGACACGCCGACTTGAATCGTCACTACAAAGCACAATCCCCACACCCCCAACAAATAAGCTACTTCAACTCTCGGCAGAATCCCAACCCAACCCATCCCAACACTCAAAACCACGCCCAAAACCAAATCCAGCAATTAAAGCAATGAGCCAAGCCAGACTTCAAATTTCCCATTGAAGCCTTGGTTACCTAATCCACAAATCATAAAGTGAAAATGCACCTACCTACAGTTTGCAAACTCTTGAAATATACAAGTCTCGAAATATACAAGTCTCAAAAGCTAAAACGTTAAAAAGTCTAGTCTTAATCGGACGTCAACAACACCGCCTTACAGTCCTTTGCATCTCTCTGTTCAGCCTGTCTCGTATTCATCCGCCTCGATTCAAGTCACTTCAATCCAAACCTATACTATTCACTCCCATACGATTCCTACCAATACCATCCACCCTCATACCATTCACTTTCATACCGCTCACTTTCATACCATTCACCCCCCTACTACTCCTCCCAAAGAGAAAAACATGTGAATATACTGGACTGCCTTCTCCATTCCCTCCCCAACACTCCAACTCTGCAGCACTGCACTCTGCAGCACTCCAGCACTCCAACACTCCAACACTCCAACACTCCAGCACTCCAGCACTCCAATCCCAAATCCATGTCCAAAAACCAAAACCAACACCACCGCAAAACGCAAAAACAACAAAACGACGAGGCCAAGAAATATAAACGACTCAAAAGACCAAAAATCCTTGAAAAAATATGTATTCACCATCATTCCACGGTTAAAAGAAACAAGAAAAAATCTCCCCTGTAAAGGAGATGGAAAAACTACCAAACCCTCCCAACCTCCCTCCGCCCGACAAACCACAGTCAACAAACTACAAGAAAATCCCCGTCGTACAACACTCGACTACACACTCCTCTCCGGGCCCTCTCCTTCCGCCACAACCGCCACACCCAGCCCGCGATCCGGACTCTGCAAAACAAGCTGCTCGTGTCTCCGAGCACGAATGAAATCACTGACGCTCTTGATGAGAATAAACCAGCCCACAATCATCAGGCCATACGCAATCCAATCGCTTCCCGTCACCGCTCCCGAGGCCCCAACGGCCGACGAGGAAGCTGCCGAGCCTGCGGCCCCGGCCACGCTCTCGGGGTCAAAGTCGTGCGAGTTGGGATCCGAGGGGACGCCGCCGTCGAAGCCTTGGCCCGGGTCGTCGTTGGCGCCGCCTCCTCCTGTACCTGCGCCCCCGCCGTTTCCGCCGCCGGGGGTGAGGACGGCGGAGCGGAAGCCGAAGCCGAATTGGACGAGGGTGATTCCGAGACCAGCGCGGGATCCGTTTTTGGCGGCGTGGGTGGTGTGTAGCAGGTAGGTGAGCAGGAAGCCGACGAGTTGAAAGGACATGGAGATCATGGCGTTCCACATGAAGCTGAAGAGGGAGCCGACGGGGAGGCCTTCGACAAAGACTTCGTCACCGAACGTGCCGGGGGCGAGAATGGTGGTTTCCCAATAAGGTGGAGTGGCATCTGCGGCGGCTTGTTCGTATGTCTGGGTTCATAGATGTTAGCAGATGTCCATGGCTTTGGCTGCCATGTAGGGACAAGATAGATGACGTACAGGAGGCTTTTCCTCGGCATCCTCCCCCCTCGTTGGTTTCGCACTCAGATTCGCCCAGACACCCCCATTGCCCCCTCCATACACCCTTCCCCCTGGCGGTGCCTGCGCAGTCGGGCTAAAGGCCGGCAACTCGGTCACTCTACGCTGCATTTCCTGCGGCCGATCCTGGCCATCCGTCGACGTGGGGTTCCCCCGCATCAGCCGCTGCCGATCATCCCTCCCATCGCCATCCTCGTCGTCGTCGGAATCCGAGTCGAATGTGTCGGCGAGGGTGCGGTCTTCATCATTGGTCAGCGGGTCGTCCGATAGCAGATGCGCTCGTGATGTGGCTGTGGCGTTTGGTGAAGATGCGCGGGAGCGAAAGGACGGGGGTGGCGAGGCGGGCGGCCACTGTTGGGGGGTGGGTGTGTTGGACTGTGAGTCGTCTTCATCATGGGCGGCTACCTGGAAGTATGTTGTCAATACATGCGGTGTTGCTGACGATTAGGGAGCAGGGTGGTCAGGTGGCTGAGTGCTCGGGTTACTATAAAAGAATGGAAA